GAATATCATCACTCTTAAATTGTGATGCAGCTGAAAATCTTGATCAAGCAGTTACAATGGTTGAAGATGAATTAACTAAGACTAGAAAATCACAATATTTATATGTTCAACTTCTTGATAACATTCAAGAAGCTGAAAAATTGTTATGTGTAACAACACCAGAAAGACTTGTTGAAGCTATTAATGATCTAGTTACTAAACAAAACAACAATGATCGTGCTCTTTTAGAAAGCGAAAGAAAAGCTAAGGGTGATCGCCAAGAACTTGAAAGACTCAGAAAAGAATCTAAAAGATGTGAAGGTCAAGTTGTGAGTTTGAAACAATGGGAAAGTTGGGCGAAACGAATTCACAGAATCATCCATGAAGCTGAATATGTCCATCTTGACTCAGATCAACTTCGACAGGCTCTTGAAGAAGCATTGCTTGCTTCAGTTTCAAGTAGAACTATTTTCATGAGAGTGGAATCACTCAGAGCACAGAAAAACATTCTCGAAAAATATGAGAAAAGGCTGCTTTATACAAGACAAGGTGTTCGATCAAGTCTCAGACCAGTTATTGCGATATGTTTATGTATTAGGAGAATGCAGAAATTTGCAGGATGTCTTCCAATCTCTTTGGCAGTAGCATCAGTGACAGAAATAAAGCCAGCGCTAAAAGTACAGAGTGCCAAAAAAGAAAGAATGACTCCACGAAAGAGCAAAACACAAAAAAGCGCGAGGAAGCCACAGAGATCACACAAAGAAAGGGGTGGATGCAAATCACCTCTTAGACCCCTCATTCCTATGTTCGTATAATAATATTTTTATTTATATCTTATCATCTATATTAAATTATGTTGTTTTCATCAATTCTGTTTATTATAAATAGGTAATATTTTAGACCGAAAATAAGTTTAAAATAGATTAAAATGATCCAATAATTATGATAAGTTTTGGAAAGAAAGTGAATTGGTTCCATGAAGTGAGAGTAAAGATGATTGTATTCATTAAGAGAAATGAATGTTAAAGTGGAGAAATGAAACAAAAAAATGCATAGTGATCAAAGATGAAAATCATTGTTGGGCTTCATGGAGAAAATAGAATTCTTTCTTTCTCATTACGATGATTGTTGGTTTTATCGAATGCCTCTGTAGCATAGTGGTTATTGCGTGTGCCTCGTAAGCGCAAGGTCATCGGTCCGACTCCGGTCAGGGGCAGTTTTTTTTTATTTTTATTAGAATCTTCATTTCTTTCTCTAATTTCTCAATACGATTTACATTAGACCTTCGAGACCCCAATAACTAGTAATTATAGTTGTTATTTATAAATGTCAAAAAAGAAAAAAAATAATAATTAATTAATTTTATGGAGAGACAATAAAAACAGAAACTAAGTTTTGTGTTGTAAATGCTGCTCGCAATTGTAAAACTAAATCTGTATTATCAATTACCGGTAAAGATGGAAATGGGAATTCCCATTCTTTCGTTGTGAGTAAATCACTTGGAGTTGCCTTTCTTGTTGAAAATTGTGCTTCTTCAGTCTCGTATGTTATCATATCATTATTACTTTCGAGCTTGAATGACATAATTTTCTGATACAATTTTTGAATCAGTGAAACTTGATCACTCGTAATTAGCTTCTTTTTCTTCATTTCATGAAGGTCGGCCCTTGGATAATGAAAACTCAGTTTTGAAATTCTTCCTCCCAAAATTGTGAAAAACTCGAGTAATTTTTCACTTGATTGTGCTGGATTTCCAATGATTTGAATCTCAGTAATTCTTTTATTTTTTGATAGTAATGTGCCTAAAGATGAATATCCACCATCTCCAAAATTACAATTTGTTAAATCAAGTGATTTTAATGCTGTATTTGAAATAAGATCTTTCAATATAGGTGAAACTGAAGCTCTCATTTGTCCAAACTCATTTCCAGCTAAAGATAAACTTTTGACAGTTGTATTAGTTTTAATATACTCACTGAATTGATTAATTATAGCTGTATTTTCTGGTCTAAAACAACCAGCAAGTGATAAATGTTGTAAATTTTGTAAATTAGATAAAAATTGAATAAACTGTGGTAATATTGGGTTTGATTCATAGTTCAAATGTGTGAGGTTTTGAGATGCTGTTCTTGGAACAGCTTTGAAAAATGCCTCCCATATTGCATCTGGAACTATTGAACTACTCATTGTCAAGTGAACATTTTTTGTAGTTGGTTTGTGTCTCATAAAAAGAACCCAAGTATCAGCAAATGTTGCTTGTTCAAATTGAACACGAGTAAAACTAGCGTTAGTAAGAGAATTTGGAAGTTGTGTGGCTTTATTTACTGGTGAAACTGCTCTACAGTTTGAAAAACACAATTTATGAATTTTTTGTGCGTTTGGTAAACTATTTAGAAAACTGGAGACATCAATATCACATCCGATGATAGATAATTCTTTTACATTTGGAAAATTGGCAAAAATGTCTGCTGGTCTTAAATTAGGTAGCTTTTCTAATGTAAGTGATTTTAGTTTATCATCTACACCTCTATTAGTAATTTCTCTGAGGAATTTCGCTAAAAATTCAACATTACATGCTTTAGAAAAACAAACACTTTCAACATTGGAATTTTGGATGAAATCAGCAAAAACTTTTGAATCACTTTCCGTTAGTTTTGTTTCACAAAACTTCATTCTTTTTAAAGGAGAATGTTTAATTGTTTTAAAGCAATCAGCAAACTCAGAAAATGTTTGATCAATTTTATCACAAATTGTAATTGATTCCAATTTTTTATTTGCTTTCTGTGACAAAACTTTACTCAACAGGCTCCAATTTGTTCCAGTATGACATCCAGGCAAAGTTAATGTTGTAAGTTCAGGTGCAACAATCACACTATCAAGTAAACATTCAACATAATGTTGTGCACCAAGAATTGAAGCAAAATCAAAAACACTTCCGCCTTTCATCATTGATGCAACATCATTCAAAAACTGTCTTTGAGGTGTTTGTCCTGATCTTGAAAGAAGGAAAAGAAAGCGAAAATATGGAGCATCTTTCGTGGGCTCCTTTTTTGTGATTAATGAAGTATCGCCTTCAAATGAGGGAACTTCATTTGCTGGAAGAATATTCACTAAGTGTCCAAAAATTTGTGTTGCTATGACAGGAGCATCATTTGTCTGTAAAATAATTCCACCGCCAGTATAAATTATTTGTATTTTAAATTTGTTTTCAAGTGATATTTTTGTTATTGAAGGCCAGAGAAATTTTGTTGTAATTTGATAGCGGTGCCCAATTTTAACGAGAAGATATACTGTTGATTCTGTTGCAACAAGGACTCCTTCTTCAAGCTGTGTTCGAGTAGCGGCATTTTGAACGCGCAGACATGTAATGATAAGTTCGTCTGATATATCGATCACTGGCTTGACTTTTTCAAGCAGCTTTTCATCATAAAACTTGAGTTCTTTCGACATTTTGGGGAATATTGCAAGATATAATTGAAGCGGAATAAATTGAATGTAACAAATCAAAATGCATTCAAAATTGATCTTATTCCATATCAAATTTTGGTTAAGATGAAAACTTTGAAAGAAGATTTTTTCTGAGCTTATATGATCATTTCACATAAAATGACCAGATATCATCTGAAAAACTATAATGATGTTCTTTTGAGATCACTTCGATTTTTCAACATGATGAAGTTCTTTGATGAAGTAGGAATAAAATACTTGACTAAATTGCTACTGGATAATGCATCAATATCAAATTTTGCAAGGAATTTCGAAAATCTCAATGACAAAAATTTCTTTTTTCCCAACATTTTTTTTTGATAAAAATCATATTGAATCTAAAATTTAGATAGATATAACGGTTACAAGTTGATGATACATGAAAACTAAGCACAAATTTATTAGTCAACTAATCAGTCGAAGTTATAACCTCTTGCATAATTATGAGGATGGTTTCCCAATCATGTAAAGAAGTCTAACTTATTCGGATTTCTTTCGAGCGCTGGGCTTATTTTTTCAAGCCCTGGGCATACGCGCGAACCTAGTCAATATGAGATTTTCTTTGAGATTCGATAGTTTCATAAAATTCAAATGAGCTTTCATAATTCACTGACAACAAAGGAACTCTTAATATTTTGCCCATTACAATTCTCACTTTTTCAAGCCATTCTGAGTCGATTTGTGATTCAAATGGAGGAATGTCTTGAGGGAGGGCAATTTTCACCTTCATACTGGCCATTGATCGACCAAGCATACGAAACACATGCAAAAAACCATTTCCACAAGTGAAGTTGGGAGATTCCCCAGAAAATTGATGTGAAAAACAAATGATGTGGAAATTCGTATCAAAAAGTTTGACTTTTTCACCAAATTCACAAAAAGTGAGGAGTCCAGAACCATTTGTTGGACATCTTTCAGGAAATATGACAATTGGACTTTGGTTTTCTTTTGCAATCTGAATAACTTTTTCCAATTTTACTTTTTTCCCACTTTTCATTGGCGTTTTGGTTAAAATTCCAATAATCAGTGTGAAAAATGAATAAACAACAACTGTTTGAGTATCATTAGGTACTACATATAATGGTGAATATTTTGACTGTAACCAAAATATATTTAAATATGATCCAAAATTCGAAATAATGATATCACCAGGATTAACTTTTTTCAATTCGCCTGGTTCATTGAATGTATCAATTAGGGGAGTTGGAACCACGTGAATAAATACATTTCCGAAGAGGAAAAGAATTAATCTATCGAAAATGTAGGAAGTGATTTTAATTAACATAACTCTAATTTTTGTGATTGGGATTATCATGGCTAGAATGTAGTACATCATGGAGATAGAAAAAGTGGAAATTAAAGATGGAATTTTTATGCATGCCACACAAAAACGAACAACTTTCATGACAGGATGAATGTATGAACGCTTTGGTTCAAATGGATTGATACCTGTTGCTGTATCAATATAAGATGGTGGCTTGCTTGCTTTATTCATCTCTGAAAAAAATGAGAGCAATTTCAAAAAATAAAAAAATTGCCCCTGACCGGAGTCGGACCGATGACCTTGCGCTTACGAGGCACACGCAATAACCACTATGCTACAGAGGCCTTCAAAATTTTCCAAATAGGGACACTTGTATTTGGAAAATTATACATCTTTTTTTATTTCAATCTTCTTTCCACTAAACTATGATTGATTTGGATCTAATGTGACATAAATATATCTATGAATAATTTGTCAATCTTCCACCAATATTATTCATCGCACTCCTTATTAGAAATCAAAACTATGTCACATATTCATTCACCATATTTTCATAGATTTGACCTTTAACCGGGGAATATTTCTATGATCTAAAATCTGAATATAACCTTATCAATATTGATAATAATATTCAAATCAGATTTTGTGTACGTTTAAAAAAATAAACCCTCAATGAGTACGAAAAAGAAAGGGAAGCCAGCTCTAAATACTCCTTTTAAAACAATCATTAATCAAATGACGGAAATTGATGGTAAAATTATTCCTTGCTTAATCGACTTTGAAGGGCTATCGATATATCATTGCGACACTCCACTCTATAAAAATAAAGTCAAATCAATGTCGTTATTAACGGATACATTTTTAAAATGGCAACAATTTGTAAATGAGAAAGCAGGACAGAACTTGTTGGATTTATCAGTTATCCATCAATATGATACATACAAAACCTCAGTTTTCTACCACCACTGGTTGGATAAATATAAAATGTTACGTGACTGCCAGCAAACACTTTATTTCAAAAAATGGATTTTGCATTATAAAAACAAGTTGAAACGTGATGCACTATTAGAGAGTATTGGTAGAAGTGTTTTTTCAGAATGGAGGATTATTGCATTTCGATCTAGGAAAGCCAAAAAACTGGCATTAAGTAGAAAGAAATCCTTTTTTGATACATGGAGAAAAAATTATAAACTCAATGTTGTTTTCAGACGAGTTCAAAAATTGAGAAATCTTCCTGTGAAAAAACGATTTTTCCGTCTTTGGAAACGGAGAATTAAACCACATCAGCTTAAAGTTCGTGTTCAAAACTATATTGAAGTTTCAAATACCTTTCACATGTCGATCAATTTTGTTTGTTGGAAAGAAAAATATTTAACTAAAACAAGAAAAATTTCACGAGAAACTCAAATTCAAAGAGTTGGATTTCATTTATGGAGGAAATCTTTAGCAATTAAACAAGATTATCAAAAGCGTTATGATATTGTTTCAGATAATTATCAAAAACATTTGGAGAAAAGAGCGATGAAAAGATGGAAGAGAAAACATCAAATTATTAAGAACAAAAGATTTAAAGCATCTCTAAAACTATGGACATTAATTGTAGCACATAGGATTTCTTTTTCACAGATTAAACAACAGAAAAATTTAAGAATTGAAGCTAAAGTTTTCGCACTAATGATTAAAAAAGTTAAAAGACATGATCAAGAACGTAAAAGAATATTCCTCCAAAGATGGCGTCGTGTTACATTTATTTCGAAAGCGGAAGCTTTGATATCAGAAAATTCACTCAAAATTAAATGTGAAACGTATTTAATGAGATGGAGAATGATGCTTCGTAATAAAATTGATGAACAAATTATTGCAGAAATGAAGAAAGAAATTGTTGATAGGAATAATATGAGACATGCTTTTTATACATGGCTTGATAGATCATTAGAAATTCGTGATGAAAGAAGAAGAAAAGTGAAACAATTCAGAAGGAAAATACTTCTCGTTTTCCCCTTTATGGCTTGGAAGAATTTCGGTCAATTACAAACAATTCGTGCCAAAGAGCATTATAAACAAACAATGCAAAGGAAATACTTCCCAGCATTTATTATGTATAAAGAATATGCTTGTGAAAGAAAATTAGAATTGGCTGCTTTGTATAGTAATTATCGACTAAAGAAAAGGTTCTTCAGAAAAGTAAGAAAGATCTTTCAAGAAAGGCATATTCAGACTAATGACCAGATGATGATGAAACTACTTAACCAACCTAATACTTTCTTTGGTGTTTCAAGATTAAGTTATATTTAAATGTAAATGTATTTATATATTATATATTATATTTTATTTCATTTTTATCATTCTTGATATATTATTTGTGCAACAAGAAATGCAAAAAGTGAAACTGTAAATCTATTTCGGAAAACAATGGAATAATGTTTGGAAAATTAAAGAAAATAATATGATACATATAGGGGAAAAAAAATCAAATGAATGAGCAAGTACAAACATAGTTTAATAATACATGATTCTACTGCAAATGCATTTCAATTATTTTTCCCGTACTGTTGAATTCAGGTTTCATAATTTTTCCATTAGCTGACTTTTTAGATATGCGGGCTCTTGGTTTCTTTATAAGCAGCGATGATGACGGTGAAACAATTGTTCTTGCTGATAGCAAGCTTCGTGCAACTTTTCGACTTTTCGATTTTTGCTTTGGTACATTTGTAAAATTCGCATTTTGTCTTTTCATTGGGGAAAAAGGACTCAAAATTTCTGTAGAAATCGTTTCGTCTTCATTTATTCGAATAAACGCTCCTTTATTGTTTTCATGATGATATCTTGATGATGAAAAAACAGTCAGTACGCAGTTGCTACAAAGTGATAGACCATTTATGACACACTGGTGTGCACGGATCAGCATTTTGAATTTATTGTCTTTGAGGAATTTTTTAACAACATCACCACCAAAATTGCTCCCACATCCTCGAACAGATTGACTAAATCCATCCATATCTGGACTTGGGTCTGACCATAAAATGTCTTGTAGGAGTTTATCTTGGTAATTACGAATTGGATATTTCAAAGAAAGCAAATCTAGCGGAGATGTCAAAAGCTCAGAAATTCCACCATGAACACATAAATAAGATCCTCTAAATCCTTCTAATTTAGATCTCATATTTTTCTCATATTCATCATCTTCATCATTATTTGTCGTCTTTTGATCATCTGTTTCATCACTATTATCTTCATTGTTGCTTTTAGTTTTATGATTATTTTTTTTCATTTTCTCTTCATCTTCTTTATCATCATTATTACAGATATTGTGATGAATATTATAATTTTCTTTTTTCTCATCATTGCCACTACATTTACAGGGATTGTTGATGAAATCCACATTAGATTCAGCAATAATGCTTGTTCCATGGTTATTTATGTGATCACAACGTATTGGACACAGGAATGAATCACTATGATGTTTGGGTTGGCTATTCTGATGATTGGAATTCAATTCAAAATGTAAATCAAGTCTAGATCTGCTTCTCACATCTAAAGATTGTGGTTTTTGAGCATTGCCATTTTTTATAAAACTACTGAGGAAAGAATCTTGTTGAGGGTTGACACGTGAACAGTTAAAATTAAATGAAGGAGATGTATGAAGAGGTATTGGACTGTTTTGTTCAGCATCACTAATACATGGTACAAGAAAAGAACAATTATTAATATTTTGAAGATTGCTGTTGTTTTGGTCATACTTATTGTTCAGAGGGCAGAATGATTTTGCAATTGATGAAGAATCATTAAATGAACCAGGTGTAATATTTTGATTTCCAATGACAGCAGCGATTGGCAAATAAGTAAAAACTTTATGAATTGTGTGATATAGTGGAGAATTCCCATACATAGACGATAGCTCCATCTCAAGAATGTTTATATTGAGAACGTTTGGAAATTCATGATTTCCTCTCAATAAATAAAAATTATTTGGATATGCGGAAACTAAAGCAAAAAGGAGAATGACTACTTCAGTTGAATACCCGCCTCTGTCAATATAATCGCCAAGCAATAAAACCTTCACATTTGGAAATTCTGGAATCCGCGAGAAAATTCGAAGGAGGTCGTGGATGTCGCCGTGAATATCGCCTATGATGTAAATCGGTGGTTCTAATGTCAATATGTGATCCGTGTTTTGGACAACTGAAAGCGTTGATTGGCATAGGGAAACGATATCTGAGGCTTCGAATCGTGGAAGCGGAATTATGTCGCCGATTGTCTTAATCTCATCTTCGCTTGCTTGTATGAGTGGCCAGAAAGCCGAGAAAATGTGCTCAGCTACTAAGCTCATGAGCTTTCGTCTGAGGAAATGAAACTTTTTCAGAGTAATTGTTTTCATTTAGATTATATATTCTGAACATTTTATATTTGACGGAAAAAATTCTGATAAAACTTATCAAGTTGAGTATTTTTTTTTACTGAATAATTTAATTGAAAATGAATCAGATTCACAAAAAAATCATCAAAAAGTATGTTTTTTCTGAAACTTCAGAAAGGTTGTTATTATTTGTGTTATTATAATGATTGTATGGTATTGCGGTAAAATCATTGACGTATTTCGTGTTGGTTTTTTTTTTATAGTTGGGTTTGAGTAAGCCTTTTCGAACCAATAATCATCACATCAAAATATAATATTACCCACTTTCTCAAAAAATCAACATTTTAAATAAAAATTCAAGTAAAGAATATTCGATCATTGGAATCTGCCAATGTCAATTCCTGAAGATTTACGATATACAGATCATAATATTTGGAGCTGGAATCGATTGCTATCATATTTTATCGTTTGTTAAAATATCGAGTGAAAGATATCAATTATCGATGGTGTTTCACCAGAATGAATTTTATGACTAAATTATTAATTATTTAATATACAATTTAATATTGTGTTTTGATGATGAACATACTGAAAAAAAAATATTAATGGCAAGATATTGGAATTATACATCGATAATTTGAGAAAATAATTCTCACAAATTTTAATGTCTCCTCAGAATTCTATAAAAATTATTAATTGTCGATTTATCTTGGCTTAATGGATTCAAACTGGCTATTCAATCCGATGAATACTTTTTAGTAATTAAATACTCAATAATTTTAATTTGTAGAAAGATCAAAAGATTGTTCAATGCTAATAGAACATAAAAACTTTATTTTTTTTCCATTTATTAAATAATATCAATTTGCGGAAAAAATTGAATTCACATTAGTTTCTGAAATGAATGTTAAAATTGAATTCTTTACTTTGAATAAATCACTAACAATTTTCTATTAATTCAAAACTTCTATTTATAAATTGAATGTC